TGTAGGGGAAACCAGAGGACCTGGATGAAACCTACACGGAGACAGGGAGAACATGCAAACACCACTCAGGAAGCCCCTGTTCCGACCAGTGGGGTGGGTCCCGGCTCAAAAATGTCAAAAATTACTTGCAGTGACAATGCTGTAGCATCTTCCTAACTCTCGAAAACGGCTTTACAGGATGGTCCAAAAGTTGGATCTTAGCCCAAAGTTACGTTCCACATGTGTGTCAATGCTGAGGGGAGTACATTCTTTTGGACCAGTCTAGTTTCGTCACAGTGAATTTTTGAAGGCACTCGTTAAATGAATCGGGCTCATGCCGTCTGACGCATGCTGCATTTTTTCATATTTTTCAGCTCCCCGCGGCCATTTTGAAACTGCCCACAGACGTCTAAAGTGGTAGCACATTAGTTTCAACGGCGGAGACAGGCGTGACAATGTCCGTTAATATTTACAGTCTATGGTTCTGACTGGGATTCAAACTCAGGACCTTCAATTCAATTTATTCTTGTATGGCCCTAAATCACAACAGTTGTTATCTCAGAGGACTTTACACAACCGTTGATAAATGAAAAACACACTGGTATTGGTCCATAAGGGGCAGATGAGTGATGATAAATGTCTATAAATGTTGTTGAATGTTGAGTGTTGTGGGTCATCACCGCTGTCCTTTTGTTAGACCTAACACGACTAACAGACCCTCCTGTAACTAAGAAGCGGGAGTGCTCCCCACTCAGCTACTGTGCCGCCTTTAGTGTTAGAAGAAAATTAATTATTTAACAATTGATAAATAAATGCCACCTTGACTTCTTCTGCAAGTCTAAAAATGTCACAATCATATCTTTTGATTTCCCTTTTGTGAGTTTGGCACTTTCAGTGCCTGCTTTTGTCTTAGCACCTACTGCTCCCAACTCAAGGCTTATATCACTGCTATTTTCTTGTGTTTGATAAGAAAGTAAAATGAGCAGATTACATCAAAATACATCATCCGCGTTTTCCTCGCCTTGCTGAGGAAATGTAATTTTCACATCTAAATGGATTTTGGACGACACATTCCAAGTCATCATTTTTCATATTCCCTCTCTGCTTTCCATCCACTGAAAACAACAGAGAAAACTCAGTTGGGCCGGTGTCATTATGCAAAGCCGGGCACAAAACCAACACCTATCCATCCAAGTCAAAATGAGCAAAAAACTAAATTATTATTTTGAGTATTACTTTCATCTCAACATACAAATTCAAGATGGTTTTGTTGCAGGGAGTGAATTTTATTGTACGTATAAAGAGTGTATATAGCAGAGCGTTCCAGAGCTTTGGTCCAGCCACAGAGAAGGCCCTGTCTCCCCGGACACCACGAGCTGGAGCTGGCCCTCGCACCTCAGAGCGTAGGGCGGGTGGTGAATTTGGATGTGGAATATCCAAATGTGGAATATATGCCACATACATCAAGCCTTAGTTTGCTATAATGTTGATCATTGGCCCACATCTTGTATAAACCCAGTAGTAAACGCAGTAGTAAACCCAGTAGTAAACCCAGTAGTAAACCCAGTAGTAAACCCTAATCCCAGTAGTAAAGTAGAATAATTATTTAATGGATTGTAAGAATCAACATTATAACAAAGAAAGACTTAGCATGTGTCACCTATATATATATATATATATATATATATATATATATATATATATATATAGAGTCTATATCATATATTGGCTTCACATGTTAAGTTGAAATACAGAATTAAAGAAAGGAAAATATTAAAGTGCACATAAGGCTTACACTCAGGATTGTCCGTTGATGTGGTAGAACTCTCACACAGGTGTCAGTATCTTCTCCCATTACGCTCATCTGTTGTTGCACATCACTTTGCAACTGTCTCCAAACGCAATAATGTAAATATGACATTCAGAAAGGTGGGAATCTATGCGTTTTTTCCTTCCTTCCTTCCTTTTCGAGTTTAATCATGTACACTCTTGTAATAAGTAATTGTTAATGAAGATATAGACCTAAATCCAAACTCTGGGGTCACCGGCCCTTCTCAGATGCTGGACCCAGACTCTGGAACAAGCTGCTCCCTGATATGCATGTCCTTACTGACTGTGACTTTTTAAAACAAGTCTCAAAACTCATCTATTCAGACTAGGGCTTTTAACACTTTTAATATTCTTTAGCTTTGTTAATTGCTGCATGAATGTTTTAATAGATTTTATGTGATTTTATTGTAAAGCACTTTGGTCACCTTGAGTGTTGTAAGGGGCTCAATGAATAAAATGTGATTGAATTTGATATATTGGAAAATTTTACTAACTGACATTTGATGATAACGATCGATGTACATGGAATTCAAAATAAATACAACACTCAACTCAACTCTATTGAACATAAGTCTAAAAATATTTTGCGGGTACAATTGATGCATTGTGTGTAATAGTTTTTGGCGGTGGTGCCGTTTTTGGATTAGTTGGCATCAGGATCGCAGTTTCGTTATATGGAGAGGACATGTGCTTCTCCACTCGCCACAAGCTGTTTCTGGGACAGATTTGGCGCTCTGCAGTCTGCACCCTCTGTTGGATTAAGCCCGGACGGTACATCCCTCTAAGATGTTTATGTGCGAACGCCAGCTTAGTAATGAATAACCCAAGCCATATTTTTTCGCCACATGCTTGGAGTTTCTTAGAATTCTAGAGGGCAAAGCTGCTGTATCACTTCCACTACTGACGGATAGTATAAGTCAGTGGCCTCCAACCTTTTTCCATTAGTTTTATGAAACAGAAATGGCAGAGAGCTACTCCTTTTATCAGTCATAATGCCATTGTAGTCTACATAATAACTACAGCCAATCATGGAGAACAGGCATGCATAATATACCATTACAAGTGGCCCTCTATTAGTTTGAGAGCCACTTCAGCTCGCCCAAACAGTCCAGGGCCCGACAGCACGGCTCATAAAACAGTTTTTACTGTTTCTGAGCCTTAAAAATGAAAATTGCTATCTCCATATTGATTCTGATGACGCTGTGTAGGCAGAGGGCCACAGAAAACAACTGGGGGGGCCGCAATTGACATGCGGGCCTGAGTTTGGAGATGCCAGCCAACTTCAGCTCTGCCATTATCGGCATGCAATAGTTGGGAAGCTCAGAATTTTTTTTTATCTATTTGCTTACTTTTACTGACTGAACCAAAAAACTTTTAATCAGTGCACACAGATCTGTCACACAAAAAAAAAAATTGATACCCTAGTCTCTATAGCTTTGCATCTATATCATCATCAGTCATATTCAAGTTTTCATTCATTGTATCGGTCAAAATCTCTATATTTCCAGCACAGACATTTGAGGACGAATTTCAACATGATTCAAAAATATATAAACTGTTTAATCTAAAACAATGTAATCCAATCAAATTCAATGTAATCCAATCAAATTCAATGTAATCCAATCAAATTCACATTCCAGAGCATTCCAAAGTGCTGCACACATTACATCCACACATTACAAATCTGCATAACAATACAAACAAATGAGATGAGAATAATTAGGTCGCAGAAAATAATTACGTATGTTTATAATGTATCTGAACAGTTCTGAACATTAGCTTGATCTGAACATCAAGCTAAAGAAAATTAAACTTGTGTTGCTGACCATCTCAAAACCATTAAGTCTATACAGTTCTATGCTATGGAATTCTTTTTGTAAGAAAAAGCAAAGTGGTTTCCAAAAGAATGGAGACCACAGACCTGCACTACATTAATCTCTTTAGACTAAACAAACCTAAATTGCATGTCTTTAAATGCAATATTTGTAATAAAAGGACTGAAACAAATAAATGAATAGAGGTTTTCTATGCTTGCCTGACAAATGTGACAAATGGCAAACGCATTTCAGTCATTATAGGAAGACAAGGACAGGATAGAATAGTGACTGTATCTTAACATTTCCTTTGCTGCATTAACGTTCTTATACTTCCCTGAACGTATTACTTTTTGCGGCACAATAATTGTGAACTCAGCCTTTTCTATCAGGCCCTTTCTGCAGCACCACCATGGAGCACAACTGCACTTCAAAAAAATAACGATAGAGACGAGAGACTTTTCCCTCGAGCAAAAAAATATGACGTAAGAGCTTCTTAAAATCCGAGAGAGAAAGAGCGAGATACAGGGAAAGAGGGTAGGAGGGGGGTTGTATATTGCTGCAGAACCACCACCTCCGAGAAGACGCTTCTTTCAAAGTCAAGATGAGAGAGATTCAAATGAAGTGGGGAACTAGCCCTTGAACAGAAACAGCCTGTGAAAAAGGCAGGAGGTCTCATTTTACAGCACAACTTAGTAATGAGCTGGGATTAGTTTGTTGGCGCCATTATGAACTGAAGCAGAAAGTATAACGTTAATATTGCGATGCATCACAGGAGCCTTACACTCACACTAATGTACAGAATCTCATGTATGTATCCGTTAATTCAATAATGATTTGTTGTTGGTAGTGATTTAATTGCGTACAAAATATGGATTCATACTTGTGAGTGGGTTGCCTCACCGTAGATCAAACTAGGAATTTTGTCTGATGGTACTTGTTCAACATTATCTTGGTGTTTGGAAAATTGACTAATAAAATCCATTCACAGTTTCTTTAAGAGGTACTGTATTTATGCAGCTTGAACTTTTGCGCATGTTGTCATGTTACAAACGCAAGCATACATATTTCAAATTCTATCGAGGCCGCAACAAAGTAACAGACAAATGTGAGGGAAAGCAAAATTTTACATGACTGAAGCAGGGTTTGCGCAAGTATTCATACAGTATGCGAAATCCCCAGCTCCAGAATTATTATCAGATAAGGAAGATAAGAAAATCCATACCAATACTCCTATTTGTCTAAATGGTGCTGTGGCAAGAGCTCTGGTGTGTACTATCTGCTCTGTCTGGTGCACACTGAGGTAGTCTTGTACAGTTACTCCCATGTGGTTTTACTGCAAATGGCAAATATTCTGAATCTGACTTGTTGTTGCAGGAGTGTGCCTGGTCCTTGGCTGCATGATCTACCCGGATGGTTGGGACAGTGACACGGTGAGGAAGATGTGTGGAGAGCAGACTGACAAGTACAGCATCGGGGCTTGTTCTGTGCGCTGGGCCTACATCCTGGCCATCATGGGCATCCTGGACGCTCTCATCCTCTCCTTCTTGGCCTTCGTCCTGGGGAACAGACAGGACGGGCTCATGTCGGAGGAGCTGCTGGCCGAAAGCAAAGGTGACAAAGACAAATAAAAAAGTCACATTCATTTATACGTCAATTCTAAAATATGAATTATGGCGTACCTGAATTTCAATATGTGTGAGGACAATGAATACTTGAGAAAGCTGATACTTGTTTGACAGGAAAAACTTTCAAATCACAAAAAAAATCCCTATCACTAGTTTCCGTCTGCATGCATTTCTGGGCTCTGGCACATCTTTATATCAACTTTTTTTCAAAAAGCAAAAAGATAGGACCACCCACACTCAGCCGATCAGCAAGTGTGAGCGTCCAATAAGTTGTGTTATAGTCTGATTTGTTCACATACTTTTTGCTTTTAATACAATTTAACTCATTTTTGTAGAGCCCTAAATCACAACAGCAGTGGTCTCGGTGGACTGTCGATTCCTCAATAACAGATCAGAGAATCAAAACAAAGGAAATGCAATAATAATTCAAACACATAGAAGCCATTGGTCTATAAAGGGTCCAAATATGTCCATAAATCTCTTTAAATGTCCTGGATCACCACCGTCTGTTAGACCCTCCTGCATTGCCAAGGAACATTTCATAACTTTTACAAGATTTTTTTCTGTTTGGACCAACCCCTTCGAAACCTCCAGACACAAGTAGATTTATCAATATGGCCGTCATTGAGCACTTTGGCTCATAATTTAAATATTTGTTTGAATACTTTGTTGTGGCGTCAGAAATCAGTCAAATTATTTTTAGATGTAAACTTTGTCTATAGATCTATAGTGGATTTTATTTTTAAACAAACAAATCAATGTCTACCTCTTTGCACCAAAATGAACCAATTCCATTCAATTCAATAATTTTTTGTAGAGCCCTAAATTACAACAGTAGTTATCTCTGAGGACTTTGCAAAACCATTGAATTCGCCATCACAGATCAGAGAATCAAACAGTTCAAAGAATGATAAAAATAAATGAAAAAAATCATTGGTTCATACAGGGCAGATGACTAATATATGATAGATATGAAATAAATGTTGATAAAGTCCACAAATGTCATTGAATGTTGAGTGTCCTGGATCATTACGGCCCTCCTGGATCAGCAAGGAATAACTCCACACATCCTATGTAAAATCAACCATAGGTCTTTGAAAGAAACAAGGTGACCCTAATTTGAAAACCATGTTGAGGTCTACACAGCTTGAATTCTGCTGCTTCATTAGTCAATAATTAGCCTCCCAGTGCAGCAGGAGCCTCTACTGCTTTCATAGATTTTCTTGAGAATGCATGTTATCCAGTCTAGGCTTATGAATAATTCAGCCAGGCTCCAAGTGCATGTTCAAGTGCCATCTGGTGGTCATTACATGCAGAACAAGATCAGTCCGAGGATGTGGTTGATATTGTGCAAAGTGAAAAAAGTGAAAATCTATTTATAGCTTGACCTTGAGAACGTTGCAATAATAATTTCTTTGCTATTTGCAGAAGGTGGGAATGCCTAAGATGAAAAGAAAGGTAAGATTAGCATTATGAAACAAAATATATTACAATAAGGCAACTTTTGTTAAACTTGATTTTTCTTTCAAGTTGGAGTCCTTTTGGGTCCGTTTACAAATGCCCCATACCATCATCTTAGCAGAGCCTGCCTCAGTCACTCGCAAAGGAGGATATTCTCGGACCAGCCAGCAGCCTGCCTTGTACATGATCTGCCAAAAACATAACTTCAACAAGATGTCATCAAAATCTGCCTGTATCCTGTCCAAACCTTTCTCTTGGGACATTTTGACTTTATGTATGTCCGAGTCCTTGCACAAAATTGCGGAGACCATGGCAGGGGCAAAGACTGTTATTGATGTGATGTAGACGCGAGGACTCCCCACTACCTAAAAAAGACAAGATAGGAACAGGGTAATGATGTAACACTTGCAACACGAGCACAGACACACACGCCTGAATATATATAGTTTTACTTCATTCCCATGTTTTTTCAGCTTTGTAAATTTACCTCTGTCCTGTTTTAGCCTGGTTAGATTTAGTCTTTACTTAAATATAAGCTACAGCTATTTTTGTTCTGGTTATGAATTTGTTATAGCTGATTTAGTCCTGATGTGATCCAAGTTCTTGCCTAGTTTTATACTTGCCCCAGTGTTAGAACTTGTGTTAATCTTGCATGGAGTGTCTTAGATGAACAGTTTTGCCTATGCTTAATGCAGTTGTTTTAATAGCTTATTTTACAACAGACATGATATGTCTAGTTTAAGTCATGGTTCAGACATGGCTTAAGAAAGAATATTGGAAGCCAAATATACTATTAGTGGTATTTGAAAATCCCTGCACTTATTTTACTTACAAAACACACACTTTGTAATTATGAATATTATACTGTCATTCACTTCTCGGTGAACATACATCTGAATGTGTGTCTTGTTTAGTCAAGGAAAAAACATTTTGTCAATATTAACCAATTGTGTTGCATTGTAAAGAGGGCTAAAATTGTTTTGCTCATGCGCCACTTTTCATTTGCAAAAAAATACTCTAATTCTATATAAATATATTAAAAAAGGACTTGTACATTGAACACCCGTAAGATGTTTAGGATCTTAAGTCATTCAAAGGCCTGCTTGCTAAATTTGCACAGCGCTTCAATACAAAAAAACAAAAACATTTTATAGTTTGTGGTAAACAGTATATATAATAATATTAAGGATATCTACACTGTGATCGGGGATAGGAAGACAGTTGGAGGATGTACGCTGATGTATGAATGTTTGTTCAATTGTGCATGACAGAGTGTATGTTACTGATAATAGTTTGCTGGGCAAATAAGCCGAAATGCCAGCATCATAACACTTGTCCTGCCATGTAGCTGTATATTGTATTTTTGTCTGTGTCTTTCTCTTTTCCCTTTGCGTAACAGTTGGGACTTACAGGGTAAACATGGCAGAGATTTGTGTACATACGGTCCCCCAATAACTGAAGAAAGATTGTCCCAGCTTCACCTGTGCATATGTGTAAATAGATAGAAATGCATTATCATGTTATTATAAAGTTGTAGGCAAAGAACAGAAAAGATTCCTATATATATAAAAATATATATTAAAAAACATTTCAATTAAAGTTTTCATTGTATATGTTGTGTTGAGTGTTTTGTGTTTCCTCTTTTCCAACACACATTGGCTTGATCACCTCAATCTCATATTTTTGCATATTATCTTGGCCACTCAAAACCTGCATTGACCAAAGAATGTGACTGTGTGATTTAAAAAGATTAAGTTGCCCAAGTGTGGATAACAATAGGACTACTATCGTTATCCAAGTCACATGTTTCAGGGTTTCAGGGGGTCTAGTTTTATCAACCTGAAGACAGAGAACATGCAAAATTATAGTGTGTAGTGTTATTAGAAATACAATCTAAGCTGAAATATAGGTCTAATACTAATAGCAAAACTGATAATGCTTTATAATGGGAGACGTTTTAATTGGTCAAAGCAAAATTCTGAAACCTCAGCAGGAGCATGTATCAGTGTGTGTGTATTAGTGTCAGTGTAGGTAAGTGGTTCAATCTAATGTGGAAATAACTACTACTGTAGTCACAGCTGCCCTGAGAAAGACAAGCAGAGGAGAGGCAACCACTATGTGCCATTTGCCTCCTCGCAACACCAATCATTCATGCACACACCACACTCATACTATACAATATAAGTGCCTTGCCAAAGGACACAATGACAGCTTTGAACTTTCTAGTTTCAGCCATTCAACTTGTAGACAGTAAATGGCACTGTATTGACTTATTAATAATGATATAGACAGAACAATATAGACTTAACACAACTCCAAGAATTCTAAAACTACAAGAACTCTCAGACCCGTCATCTTGACTGCTCCCATTCAAACCAATGAAATCTTGAAAAATGTTCCCCAAAATATTTTACTTTTCCACCAAATGTATTAAAAGTAAGTGATTCATTAATTTATTCTGTGCTTCACTGTTTAATATAACTTGAAATTAAGTACACAGAGAAAAAGCCACAAAGGTATGAAGATCAAGAATGTCCATACCCAAAGTAAATACACTTCCAAAACTAAAAGCCGTCAAATTGACTGCTCTTAATTAATTTCATTAGAGGTTATTAGTATTAGTATTAGGTATTTTATTGCCAAACAAAAGTCACTAAACTGTTTCTCCTAAGATAACTTATCTAATATCTTCCCTTTGTGTCGGACCTTCCCACTGAACATTGCTACTTCAATATCAACATTACTACGGCAATAACATTACTACTGCAATAACAACATTACTCGTGTACTGCAATAATGACTACTACAGCAACAACATAATGCAATAATGACTTTACTACTGCAATAACAACATTACTACTGCATTAACAACATTACTACTGCAATAACAACATTACTACTGCATTAACAACAACACGGCCCCTTTAAAAAACCGAGCGGGATTCAAATATTAGCCCCGCCCATCATTTCGCCAATGCGGAAACAGAAACTAAACGCAGCGCAGTGAGTGCACATCAAAATGGGAGCATCTTTGGACACTCCAGCGACCTGCCCTTTGTGCAACGAGCTGACCCGGGAGCCCGTAACCCTCAAGTGCCAGCACCGCTTCTGCCAGCGCTGTATCGGGGACTTGTGGAGTGTTGTTCCGAACGGGCCGTACCACTGTCCCGAGTGGAGGTGTAAAACTGTGTACCACACGCTCCCGTTTGACAAGAACCTCATCCGGCAGAAAGCCAACCAGAGCCCGCGACCTCCTCCAAGCAGCAGTGCAGGTCTGATATTGTCATAGATCCATGGTCTGATACCAATGTCTGTGGATAATAAGGCTTAACCAAAGTCATTTTCTGTGTGATGTGCTAAAGTTCTGCATTATGCTGGTCACCGGTAGATGTCGTCTTGTGGTGTGTTTGCTCATAGGCCTTGGATCAACTTCCAAAGATTACACAAATACACAAATTTCATTATTTATCACTTCTAGTTGGGCTACACATTTAAGGAGTGTAGATTAGAATGTAACTTGCTTATCTAAGATTTTTACAGAAAAGGGCGATTGTAATAACACATGTAAAATTGCTACTACTGAAATCTTTAAGCACAGTACAGAACAATTCATGTTTTCACTGTTAAATGAATATGTAAATATGTGTCAATAGGTGGTTGTAGTTATGACCGTGAGCAATGCTGACCCACTGATTTTGTGAAGTTGTGAATAATACATTCTATCTTTGAGAGAAGATTTGTACATACAAATATGTTATACACTGTTAACTAAATTGCATTTTGATCTGAATCTAAATTGTGGATATTTGAATTTTTTTTATTATTATTTATGACAATTAATTTATTTTTAAACCTACATATTTGCAAATGTTCCCTGAAATAAAATAAAAAGATGCACATGGTTTCAAACATAATTCATGCAGGCCACCTAGACTGCTGTACATAACTGCACCTGTGGTGACCACGGTTCCTTATCATGAATAATATATCGTCTACTTGTTCTGTTCCATTCAAAGGCACAACCAAAAACAATGAACAGACCACCATATCAAGCTCTGCACTGGGGCGTCCCTGCCTCCAGAGCCGCCTACTTGGTAAAAGAAAGGCCAGCGCTCCAGTTACAGATGTTTCTGACCCAAAAAGATCAAGTTTGGCCCAAAAAAAGAAATCCAATGACACAGAGACTCCAAGCACGTCCTTGTCTGGTGAATCTGTTCTGGAGACTGCTGACAAGACACGGGACCAAAACCCTCTTCCATTCACTTCAGCCATGGAGTCCAGTGCCTCTTCTGAAAATGAGAATGGGGCAGCTAAATGTAAACAAGACGTCCCCTCAGTTGTTGAGCGTAAGGCAGAAGAAGTGATGTCATTGGATCAGTCTGACAATGAAGTGGATATATGTGATGCCCCTCTACTGGCAAGCCCCAAAACAATCCCCCAAGAACAACCAACACCAAAGAAAGCACCTGCCCCCCCCAGCCCGCCTCGAGTGATGGAGTCTCCAAAACAAGCTGATCCAAGTCCTGCTCGCTCTCGTCCAACGGTGTTCAGTGCACACAGAGTTTCTCCCTCTGACAGCAGCTCCAAATACACCAGCCTCACCCCTCAGTCTGAAAGCAAGAAAAACAAGCAAATAGCCTGTAATTACTGCCCAAAATTAGCATATGAATTCGCAGTGAAGACTTGCTTGGTGTGCGGGGCGTCCATGTGCACAGAGCACCTGCGGCCGCATCTAGACCAGCCAGTGTTCCAGAATCACACACTGGTTTCCCCCGTGGAGGACACTTCACCCTGGAGATGTCAAGAGCACCAGGAGATGAACCGCATCTACTGCCGGCAGTGCGGCCTGTGCGTGTGCACCGTCTGCACCGTGATCGGGTCTCATCGCGACCATGTGTGCATCAGCATCAGGGAGGCCGAGAGGGAGCTCAGGGTAAGTGCCTGTTTCTGCCTCGTGCTTTAATTGAGATTTATTTGGAGATTGTGTAGTGCACTCTTGCCATACTTTTGCCTTTTTATGATGCTAGCAGTTAGCCCCAGAGTCATTAAACCATTGGAAAGGTATTAGATTTGATGGAGCCAAGTTCTAGGCCTTAAAAGATTTGAGTTTGCCAAATGAAGCCTTCGATTTGTGAGATTGTGACATTAGATTAAGAGATTTTATGTGTCCCACAAAGGGGAAATTTCAGTGTTGCATCACAAGTTACAGGACAGTAGGAATGAGGAGCACACAACAAACGATAAGTGAACACTAAGCAAAGCACAGCTCTGTACTTTGAGAATAACGTCTTAAATTAAATACTGTCCCTTCAAAATGATACATTTATCATTGTTCTAAATCAGTTGTAGTTTATTACAGACGCAGCCATGTTTGAAGAGTGGAATAGAGTAGAATAGAAGTGAAAACTGGAAACACAGACCTCCATCTCTACAGTTCCGTTCCTTTTAAAGAAATCCTGCACCTGATTTGGATCAACTTTCATCTCTTATAACATTTTGAATTTCTTCACTCACAAACGCCACTGATCCAAAAAAAAGTGAATGTGTGTTTGTTTATCATTTTCGTTAGTTCTTTCTATATTAAATAAATACCATATTTTTTGTGGTGTGTGTGTATATATACACACAAAATGGAACCAATACCAATTTTTTATTGTTATTTTCTGATTTAATTTTTTTTCAGGGAAATCTTAAAGAACAAATCAAGATATTGCAAGACGTTGAACAGCAGGTCATGAAGAGTGTCTGTGAACTCACTCACAAGAAAGAATGCTTCGAAGTAAGTGTCTTTGTTGATTTAAATGGATCCATGTTTTGTGTGAGTAACATCTCTGCAACTGCTAACTATAATAATAATATAATCAAATCTATTTTTGTATCACAATCTCAAAGAATGTCATAAATCGTCAACTCACCCACAGCAGTATAGAGTATCAACCAATTGATCCACAAGGAAATGTACAGTATAAAGCCTAGTGTAAACTTGGGCGGCGCTGCTTACGTTAGCGGTTGCGGTGGACCTCCGCAAGCACAATTTAATTTATACTCCTTGCGGAGTTGCACAACCAACCACACGATGGCGACCTCACAGGAGTTGCTTGAGATACCAAAGCGGTCTCATTTACGCTGCTATTTTCTCCTCTTCAGAACAAAAACATGAACTTAAACAAAGCTGTTTGAGATCATTGCATGTGTTTCTACTGTAGGTTTATGTGATAGTTCTATGGACTCATTATTTCTTAACTCATTTAACTGTGATTTTGTAAATAAAGACACAGTTCTTGTTGGAAACATAGTTATTATTAAATTGTATTCATCACAAACAGCATACAAAAAGTGGTAAATATCTGAGGCAAACATGAACAATTTATAAGTGCAGGAGGAATGGAACAGACGCGATGAGCTACGATTCAAAGACAGGAACAGTGCAAAAGAAACGACTGCATAGTTTATAAGTTAAATATATGTTAGATATGCAACAGAACTCTAGTCCACAGTCTCCGCGTATATCAGGCTCTGCCATGAGCCCAAACTACTTTTCCTTTGGTTTCTTCGAAGCGTGAAGGAGTCTGCTCCATAGCGCCTCGTCCATGCTCCTGCAGCCGCTCCGTGCTTCCTTCCAAAACACACACACGGACCAATCACAGCGTAGATTCCTTGCGGCGACCCTTACATAGTTAGAAAATTTCGATGCTGCGCGGCAGGCAACGTAAGGGCCTTGGGCTGTACAAAAATGTATTTATTTGAAGTGTATTGTATTAAAATTTACATCTTTAAGAATAATTCAGAGCATGTTGATCATTCAAATAATAATTGACCCCATTGCATCTTTTTTTTTTTGGTATTAGAATGTTATCAGTCCCAGCCAAATCTAATTCTTGATTAACCGCAGCATTACCATTTTGAGTGCGTTTCGGGACATTATCAAGCCTCATGTCCAAACGCATCCAACTATCGCTTGTCCGTCCGCAGATGATTTTCACTGAGGCGCACGGAGGAGTGAAGCAGCAGTATGGAGCCATCAGAGAGGCTTTGGAGCAGGAGGAGCAGATGGCCCTACAGTGTGTGGCCCAGGAGGAGAAGAGGCTCCTGGGGGGATTAGAAACCAAACTCGGACACCTCCAGAGCTCTCTTCAGTCCGTCCAACAGGGCCTGCACACTCTGGAGGGATTGGCTGACGCGAAAGGGGACCAACGAGTCCAGGACCAGGCTTTCATAATGGTGAGAACCCTCAGCCAACGTTTTAAAATTAGTTTAGGGTAATTCTGTTTATTAAATGTTGTGTCTTCATTATAGGAATATGGGAAAGTTGCACAAATGTAAGTAATGCTTTGAATTTCACATGATCAATGTATAATTTGACACAAAATACAGAAGTTGGAACATATCTCCACAGAGCTAGTTCTGTGGGCAGCTGTGCGGAGCATTTCGAAGCACCAGAAGAGATAAACCAGGCGAAGCTTCAGTGCTTGCAGAAATGGACGGAGAAACGTCTGGATGAAGCGGTCATCACGGTGCCAGGCAAAGACCGGGACCTCTGCAGGCTGCTCTGTAAGTTTCACATTTGCCTCTAGTAAAATTACACAAATCTCAAATGTCTGCAGACTCGACAAATTCGGCAAAGCAGAAATAGTCAATTTTCCAAACAAACCATAACATGCTGTCCTTATCTCATTAGAAAAGGGCTTAGAGCTGATTGGAGTGGAGTGGAGTGTGGTCATCTTTTTTTCCTCGTTTCTGTCTAAAAAAGCTGACCTAAAGCTGCGACAGAGACCAAAAGAGGCTTGTGATGAAACCATATTACTTTATATCGTTTGTTGTTGTTGTTTTGTTCTGAAGTTCACAAATCTATTAGCAGTATTATTTGAACATAAATTTTACCATAAAGAAGGTTGGTATATTGGTGTATAGTGTTATTCTGGTCATTTAGTTTTTTGATAACACTTCATCTCCCATGTTTTGTGGTTGAATTGTGCCTTCTGTATAGACATTGACAGATGTATAAAAGAGAAAGTTTATTTGATTTACAGTGACATGAGTTTATTATCTCTAGAATCAAGATTAAAAGTATGCTATAACTCAATAAGTCATTTATAATTTTCAGTAAAGTGAAACATTATTCTTGCTTCAAAAGACAGATTCTCTTGGCGACGCTATAAATCAAAGAGGGACTTTTAAGCTTTTAAGCTAAGATTTTTTTTTTGCACTGTAGCTAAAACGATTGCTACTGCTAATCGCACATAAATCTGTTTAGTAGACTATTACACAAGTTCCTGTTGAGAGTTAACCATTTAAGGATCACAGCTTATCAAACATAAGGTCTCGCAACCTTCTGAGAACTGGTCATGACTTACGCAAGTACTCATCAGCCTCCCACTCTTTTCCTGTGAACAGATGGCACCTCTCCCGTCATGAACGAGGACTCCGCACATCCCAAGTTGCATTTATCCGAAGACAAACGCACAGTAAGTTACAGCGAGTCGCAACAGGCCTACACGGATCACGAGGCCCGCTTCACATCCTTCCCTCAGGTCCTCGCCCTGACCGGCCTGGACCGTGGCCGCTGGTATTGGGAGGTCGACGTGTCCACAGACGACGGCCGCTGGAAAGTGGGTGTGACAGAGCAGCGAATCGAAAGAAAAGGTCAGAAAGACGGCGCGCGTTTGGGCTTCAACTGCTACTCCTGGTGCCTGGCGTGCGATCGGAAAAAGGTGGAGGCCCTGCATAACAAAGTGGGCATCCCGGTCGACGCAGACGAGTTGGAGAGAGTGGGGATCTTCCTGGATTTTGAAGAAGGCACGTTGTCGTTCTTTAACGTGACACCAGGGGGCAGTCTTGTGTTGATGCATTCCTACAAGCAGCAGTTCAGCGACCCAGTCTATCCAGCGTTCTCTGTGTCCAAAACAAATATCTCTGTCGCTGATTTGTTCCGGTCATAATTCGCAGGAAAATTGGACAGGCAAATTGCAGGGCCTTGTGTAGAGATTGCATCGAAGCTCTTTGCGCCTTTTTATCTCATCTTATATGTTTCACTGTCGGCAATGTAATCATGATTTTCTGAGCTCATAGAACCATGGTTTTCATATAATCAAAAATTGTTCTTTTATACAGGCATAGTTTTATTTTAACCTTTTTAGCTGTAGAATCCACTGTCAATGCCCTTTTCACACGCAACAGCATGGGATCTAAACTATATTTACACAAGTGTTTGCCAAACAAAAAGATCTGTTTTCAAATATGGGCATTTGCATAAGGGCCATGGCCAGTGTTGGGAAATAATCTATTTTCTTTGACGTATGAATATTTGTTGCAAAATGTCTTGTACTTTCTACTTGACTTTTAGAGTTTATTTTGATAAGTTTCCAGCCTTTTTATATGGTTGTATTGCCGTGCTTGCTTGGAAACTATAAGGCTATACTTTTTAGTACAACTGGACAAAATATTTATTCGATTTTAATCAATATAATCTTCTTAGAAACAAGTCTTTTTTTATTTTTGATAATATATTTAATGTATATTCTAATTATACCATATCATGTACATTCCTATTTCAAGAATACCTGGAATCTTAATGAATGAATGAAAATAAAACTTAAAATTGTCCCATAGCTGTTGTACTTCCTTGTTTTGCACTTCTAGAGACGCAGGTGTGAGTGCATCTGTTTGCTAACTTTGAATTTGTTCTTCCCCCACATGTAAGATTTACAGACAACACACACACGCACTGCTTTTGGGATAATGTCCTTCTGGCGTCGCCCTAAATTACCCTCCTACTTTGGACTCATTAATTCTGACTGAGGAGGCTGCTCGCTTGACGTCACCGAGATGGGATCAAAGTAGTGTTTGGATAGACTGGTCGAGTGGAGAGCACCAGCATGCCTGTGGTTCAAACGATGACCTGACTCAACTTGTTGACAGAATTGTTGCTTTCGTGCTCCTGATTTACTGGAGATATACAGTATTGCCATAACATGCTGTAGTGATGTATCTGAGCAAAAGTAGGGCATGCAGTAAAAGTGTCATTTTGCAGTATTTTTAAAATTAAAAAAACATAAAAGTCGTTCTGAGGAAGTGTCGAGGTGATAACATTGCTAACTTATTGTTATCTGGTATAAAAGAACCAAATACTTATATCTACTAAGAAGACTAGTTGAACCTTCCTAAACTAAAAATATATATTTGTCAGAAATTGTTTTCTGACAAAAGGTGCTAATTTTTAATCCCTCGAAACTGACAGATTGGCACACTGATAACCAAATCTAAACAAAATATAATTTTTTTTGCATCATCATTAATCACTATTGACCTATGAATCTATGTTAATGACATGGGGTAATGTTTTCACCAGGGTTTGCAAAATAACTCACACTATTTTTGGTTGGATTTTAACTAAACTTTCAGGAAGTCTTGAAATTAGGACCATTTGAATTTTGGAGGTGATCCAGATTACTGTCGAGATCCAGGATTTCTTTTTTATGTGGAATGATTGGTTCTCGAATGTCTTCATCCCCTCATTCAAGAGACGCATTCCTTTAAGGTCTTCTCAAACGTGTATCAGTGACAGCGACGGTGGTAAAACAGACTTTTGCCTTTGCTTGTGTTATCCAGGGTCTCAGCTGTCTGACATGGCAGGATATGAGGAGGAGGCAGCAGGAGCCCTCACAATAATTAAATTCCCCTCCTGCCAGGTCTGCTGATCCTCTCGCCTATGCACTCTACACTAGTTAGCATGAATGATGTGACGTGAATGGTGAGGAAACATTTTTTATAAGAAATGATTTTCAATTACATAACACTGAAATGTGGTGTATTCACCCATAATCTCTGAATCTTTCTCAATGCAGTCTTTGTGCTTTCAGACCCAAAAAATGCTCTTTCAATAATTTCTCAAAGGCAAAAAAGTGCGTTTCTAACTGCTTGGAGCTGTGAAATGGGCAGATCTTAGGTTTCTGGTACATTTTCTATTGAAAGGGGGTTTCAATAGAAAATGTTTTGAAAATTACAAATGTCATGAGTGTGAAAAGACGGCAGAGGCTAAATAGCTTTCCAGTCACTACTGTTCACAGCAAAGTGTTTTCAGGATGAAAGAAAAACATACTCAAAATGTTTGTTACTGTTTCTCAACGTTAATGTTTGATAGATATATTATATATATATAGTTCTTCTCATTATTCAAAAGATAGCTGATCAGTCCAAACATGTTTTCAATCTCTATTTTCTTTTTAACGCTATGGGGATTTAGAATGGAGAATTTTGCGTCTGGAAACTTTAAGCTTTTCCCACTTTGCAGCTACTATGAGTCTATCATAATCAAGGAATGACCTCAAAAATATAGGCACAACCTCAAAGAAGGCTTTTCTTTGTGGAGTTTACTTGTATATTGTTGTGTAAAATGTGCCTACAAGGACAATAAAGCATATCTTAACCATAACCTTGCATCTGCAGTTTTATTGATTACTATTGCAACAACTCTGTAGGGTAAAACTAATCTGTCTCACAATGGTAAGGGCGGCACGGTGGCTGAGTGGATAGCACTCTCGCTTCTCAGCAAGAAGGTCCTGGGTCCGAATCCTGGTCAGAACAGGGCCTTTCTGAGTGGAGTTTGCATGTCTGCGTAGGTTTCCTCCGGGTGCTCCGGTTTCCCCTACCACTAAAAAAATTCACAATAGGTCTGAATGTAAATGAGAGAGTGAATGGATGGTGGCTGGTGCGCCAGTGTGTTCGGCAAATCGCTTCCGTCATCACCGTGTGTGGACTGATTGGAACAATATCTGAACTCTTAACATTGTAAAGCGCTTTGGGTGACATTGGTCTGTAAAATGCGCTATCTAAATAAAACATTACATAACATTAAGATAAGATAAGATAAACCTTTATTAGTCTCACAGTGGAGAAATTGACATTGACAATTACATTGTCAATGCAGTATGAAAGTGGCACAGAACCAGATCATAGGAACTACTTAAAATTGGTAGACTATTGTTATTATCCAACATTTATCGTTATTTATTCTTGATTTAAAAAAGAATGTTCAACTGTATTTTACTTCTTCCACTGGCAATGAAAACTTTGCGCACTTTTTGTATTCTGACAAAAAGGGACATAAATGTGTTTGTGTCTTGTGCTGCCTCTGTCTGTTTATAATGTATCGTTTCCTCAGTACTCAAGATTCCCACTGCAGACATTTGCCTAGTTTTATCTCAGTGGACCATGCAGCGTTCCTTAAATTAACTTGACACTAAGAGACCGAGAAATGTGTAGCCTTAAGGCGGCGTTTACCTGCAGAGAGACTGATTATGTGTCGTTTTTTATTGTTATCAAAAAGTCTATGCTCAGATAAGTGTTTTGTGAGTCAGTATTTGATTAAAACACATTCAGAGATGACTTGTGCATTATAAAAAAACTCTTGTCTTCATCAAAGCAAAGTGATCACAAGTGACAATGGCCTTTTTAGATTCAACCTTATTAGCGCTCGTCCTTGTAGCCAGGAGCCTTAAAAGCCTAAACGTTATTTGAACATATTTAATAGACCATTTCTTTCTCTTCGCTCAGTTGTATAGAAAATGTCAGTAAGATTAGGCTCCACAGAGTAATAGATGACAGAAGCTAATAGGATATATGCAAATGATTGTGCCAACCACTTGTCAGGAGATGCCACCAACATAACAACCATGCATAATGAATATGTTCTCTCCAGTATGACAAGATTTATGACATTTATTAAGATTGAGGGGGAGCCAACTGAAGATTTGGTCAAAAAATACAAATCTTTGTTTCTATTTTATTCATAAATTTGTGTAAGCCCTCAGTCGTACAGGGATTAGTCAAAGCAAAGGAAGGTTTCTCACCCATCATCTGTACTTCTTAGCAAGTTTTCCCGACGTTTCGTCCTCAACCTGGGGACTTCTTCAGGGAATGAATTCTCGGACCTCGCGTTGGAGATTTATAACCTATGGGTGTGGTTAGCCACACCCTAATCCTGATACTAACTCGTAAACAATCTACGGTCTGCTTGATGTAGAAGGGGAGCAGGTCTAACGACCCTGCTGAGGCTAACGACCCTAACTCCTTAGCATGTCACAGACCTATTGTCTGCTGGGATGCTCAAGTGGAGTGCAGGTTTCACCCCTCCTAACTCATTAGCATGTCACTGACCTTGTCCCAAGTTAGGGCGTTGTTTTTAGGATGTCGTCATAGATGCGAGGCAAAACAAATCTTAACCCTCCTCCTCTGTTAAGAGAAGGTTTTTGTTTCCTCACAAAAATGGCTTCTTTCACCCCTCTCTCAAACCAATTCTTCTCCCGAGCCAGAATTTTAACCTCTGTGTCATCCACCGTGTGGTTGGAGGCCTTGAGGTGGAGATGAACAGCCGACTGTGGCCCACTAGAGTTTTCTCTACGATGTTGGTAAAGTCGTTTCTGTAGAGTCTGTTTGGTTTCTCCAATATAGTGGTCAGTGCACTCCTCTTCACTACATTTAATTGAATACACCACATTGCTCTGTTTGTGTCTGGGTTTTTGTCTTTGGGATGCACTAATTTCTGTCTTAACGTGTTGAAAGGTTTGAAATACACAGGGATTTTGTGTTGCCTAAAGATTCTTTGTAGTTTCTCTGAAACTCCCGCCACATACGGTAAGGACACCCCTCTCCTCCTACTTTCTTCTGTCTGTAGGACTGTGTCTCTGGCCTTTCTCGTCCTTTGGGCTTTAGTAAAAGACCACTTGGGGTAGCCACATCTGGAAAGTGCTCTCTGAACATGTTTGGTTTCTCTGTTCTTTCCCTCCGAGCTAGTGGGGACCTGGTGGGCTCGGTGTTGAAGCGTTCTAATGACCCCGAGTTTGTGTTGTAGCGGATGATTTGAATCAAAGGCCAGGTACTGGTCAGTGTGAGTGGACTTTCTGAAGACCTCAGTCTCTAATTGTCCGTTCTCCAGTATGAT